TTGGGTAGGGAAAGGAAACCAGCAAGCCCCATTTTGATAAAAGGAATCCTTAGGCTGCCTTTCCCTACATGATTATGACCCTCCATAAATTTATCAAGTTTTACTTTTTTATATATCAGTCCAAGCTATGGTTTTCCCAGTAGTGATGTATGGAAGTGAAAGCTGGACCATAAAGAAGGCTGATTGCCGAAGAATTGATGCTTTTGAATTATGGTGCTGGAGGAGACTCTTGAGAGTCCCATGGACTGCAAGAAGATCAAACCATCCATTCTGAAGGAAATCAGCCCTGAGTGCTCACTGGAAGGACAGATTGTGAAGCTGAGGCTTCAATTCTTTGGCCACCTCATGAGAAGAGAAGACTCCCTGGAAAAGACCCTGATGTTGGGAAAGATGGAGGGCACAAGGAGAAGGGGACGACAGAGGACGAGATGGTTGGATAGTATTTGCGAAGCTACCAGCATGAGTTTGACCAAATTGTGGGAGGCAGTGGGAGACAGGAGTGCCTGGCGTGCTCTGGTCCATGGGGTCACGAAGAGTCGGGCACGACTAAACGACTAAACAACAACAAAAATATTTTCAGGTGGTAAATTTGGTGGTTGTAGTGCAAGAGTGGATTTAATGAGTGTCACTTAATTGGCAAAACATGGAAGATCTCTACAGCCATGCCCTCACTCCTATACTAAGCACATGGATATACAAAGCACAGAGCTAGGTCAGTATCTGTACTGCGAATCGTTGTAGAAGTGATGGATAGGCTACAAAATATAAATTTATCTTACCTGGTTAAACCTGCTGGGCCAAACAATGGCTTCTTCACAAATGCTGAACACTTCTTCTTTGGGAGCCATGGGGTCGATCTTTCCAACTTTCACCCTCCGAAAGGACTGGTTGGGAAATGTGACCCAGTTTATAATATCAAATCCAGACTCTAACTCTCCATTTTGGTTGAAGGAAACTTTCCCCCCAGCACTATTATTAAATGAGATGCTTTTAACAAAGTGGTTGAGCTGTTTGGGGAGAAAGAATAGATAGAATCAGAGAGAAATTAAAAGAAAGCAAATTCATAAGAATATACAAAAGGCTGGTGATCATTCGCAATTGATTACTGAACTATTTAAAGCTTTATACCAAGGAAGAATGGATACGGAGAGAGGAAGAGCCCGATAGGCCACCTTGAGCTTATTGCAGGAACGTTGAGAGATACGTATAACAATAAACTGATACAGTAATAAACTACAATAATAAAATGTAACAGTGGTACTAATGAAGGAAGTAAATGGGCAGGAGTGGAGCAGGTCAGAATGGTATAGCAACTACTGTATTTATAACCTTGACGTGGTGGATGGTAGAAGCAGAAAAAAATCCTGTGCCATGTTTATCATGATCACCTATGGGACTTTCCAGAGAATCTAGATTCTCTATTTATTCCTTTTGTGCTGGTCCCAGGGGGAGGTTACCGTGGGGCGAGGTCCAGGACCTGGGTTGAGGGTTGGTAGTCTGTCCTCCACGGGCGAGGCGGGGTCCAAAGCGAGGAGCCGGGCAAGGACAGGAACTCTGGAGTAACAGGACTGGGTGCTGGCCGAAACAGCTCTTCAACGACGTTGCTCCCGCAACCTGGGACTGGGCTGACTGGCCTTTATCTTCTCTGAGGCCAGGGGCGGTCCCGGCCCCCAGGAGACCCGCCTCTCCTAACCTTAAGGCGAGCACTCCTCCTGGGAGAAACCAGTTCCCTCCGCCTCTCTGCCCTGAGCCTCTGCAGCTCAGGAGAGGCTGGAGGGTTACTGGGCCCAGGGGGAGACTCACCTTCCCCTGACAGGGCTGGGAGAGGCGCACCTGCAGGCACTGTGTCCTCAACCACCTCCGGAGCCAGAGTAGATTCAACTGGTACCTGCTCCTGAGGATCCGGCACAGGTGCAGGCACTTCAGAATCAAGGCCCTGCCCCAGTTCAGCCGGCCCTGGAGGCGGGGACTCCTGTGCAGGCTGGGATTCCTCCAGTTCAGCCTCTGAATCAGATTCCCAGGCCATCACACCTTTGCTTCTGGTGAGCAGTGGAGATTAGACAAAGTCAAGGAAGACATTGGATATCTATGGCTATTAGCCACAATGACTATATACTTGCTCCAGAAAAAGGGCCAGGGTGCCTCTGAACACTAGACTGTTGGGAGTGGCCTATTGCCAAAATGTCATGATTGAACACTTCCCACAGGTATCAAGTTGGCTGCCTTGGGAAACCTTTCAACTGATCCATCACCTTTTCTACTCTGCTTTTAGCATTCTCGGGACATTACCCTCCACAACTGCTCATTCTGTAATGTTATTCCTTCATCCACTGTCATTTTGCCTTTGAGTCTAGATGGGTGCATGGCATGCAGAGCACGTGCAACCACATAGACTTCTATGTAGACATTGTAGTTGTAGGGTGCAGGACCTACAGTTATTGGCTATGTTTACTGGGAATATGGGTGTTGTAGTTCAGAAACATCAGGAGGGCTGGAAGTTCCCCATCCCTGCCTTAGGACTAGAGACAGAAGTATTTCCCTGACACTTTTTTAGACTGGCAAAATAGCCTGCAAAAATGTGTCTGGAGTCAAAGCTGGTTAAACCTGCTGGACCATACAATGGCATCCTCATGAATGGTGAACTCTTTGCTCAGGGGTTCTCGTGGGTCTATTCCTCCAACTCTCACTCTAAGAATGGACCGGTTTGGGAATGTCACCCAGTTTATGATATCAAATGCAGCCTCTAGTTCTCCATGTTGGTTTAATTAAACTTTTCCCAAAGCACTATTATTAAGGAAGTTATTTCTCACCACGCAGCTGAGCTACATTTGGCAGGGGGAATGATGGGATAACAGGTTGATGATGAACTTTCCTTCTTGTGGGAAATGAGCAATGGGCCCTTCAAAAGATTCATAAAGACCAATAATGGATGTAATAGAAGTCACTGAGCACTTCATCACCATCATCTTCTTTTGATGAAAGAGGATGCTGGACTAGATGGGCCAATGTCCTGGTCCAGCAATATCTTCTTATGGTAAGTGAATGCTGTAAAACTACCTCCTCTAATCTCTCTTTCTCAGCATACATATAGGCATTTGATTTCAGTAAGGTGTTTTTTTTAATATGCTCTTTTAATATTATCTCTTTTCATGAAGAACAATGAGAGAGAGAGAGAGAGAAATCCTTCTGAAGAAGCTGCCATTTAGCCTTAAATGGAAACTCCTGGCATAATCTCCTATTAGTAATATGAAAGGCCTAACCCCATTCAGTATGAGTCAGTCACAGTCCTGAGTGAGGTCCCTGGAACAGATTCACACAACAGTGAGCTATGTTTTCAATGTCACATGTAATTTGGTCTTTAGATGCTAACCACCCTTGGTAGAAACAGAAACCTTTCAAACACTCTGGATACTTTCTTTTTATTGTTATTTCCAGGGCTATGGGGAACATTCCTGCATTATTGTGCTCATGTTATTACCTTCCACATCTGTTGATTCCAAAGCTTCAGCCACCCTTCATCCACCCTGCGCTTCAACTTAGATGAATGCATGGCATGCACAGCGTGTGCCACAGCATAGACTGCATTGTAGATGCTATAGCTGTGGCCAGTCATGCTTGTTGGAAAAATAGAGCCAGGAAGAGTCTCCAGCTTCTCCTCCCCAGTGCATATATCACCATCCTGCGTATTTCCCTCAGAGTCAGGGAAATGACACTGAAATGCCTTTTCCCAGTATATCCTCATGAAGCCATCTTCTTTTTCCAAGATGGGATTTCTCATCTGAACAAATTCCTGGAATCCCAAAACCTCCTCTGAGTGAATTGTGAAGGATAGAGTACCATGGAGGAAGTCTATGTCCTGAGCTCTCTGATAGGGAAGTGATGTGAAATCCATCTGTACTGTCATAACCCAAACTTTCCCTTTAGCCTTTATTGGTATATCTTCATATTCTGACATAGCAGGAAACATTCTCAAAAGTGTCATGGAATCAATTTCTCCATGAATGATCAACACATTAACAGTACTTCTCATGGCAACATTAAATGTCTTGAGCCCATCTGCAACTACGTCCGTAATACCATTAGTATAAGTCATTGTTGGAAATCTTCCTATGAAATCAAGGCAGATTCCTCTCAGAATAAATTTTGGAACCACGCTCTCTAGAAACCTCTCTCCATTCTCATCATTCACAATCAACACGCCAGTCCATAGCCATCCGAAGTGTAGCAGTAACTTGAGAATCCCTTCATATTGATGGTCTATATTTGGGAACATTTGGTTAAGGAAAGCAACTTCAGTTTTAATATTTCTCATTGGAGCAGGACCATAGATGAGCTAAATCAAAGACAGGAAATGAGGAGATGAGAAATTTTGTTTAGGTGTACAGTGGTTTTCTATGTTAACTTGTATTGACTGCAGTGAAAATACAATCTAGATTTCAGATTTTGTTTTGAGGGAGTGCTGCTGACATGAGATCTTGTCCAGGTTTTCCTCAAACTTCCTGAAGCTTAAGAGAACATTAAAGAATGAGCAATCCACTAAATACAGAAAAATGTTCTCACCAGTGAAATTGTTGCGTGGCTAGACCCCTCCCCATGTGAAATGAAGACACTAGGCACATTATTTAAGGTTAATGGGCGTAAATAGGCCACAACTTTATTGATTACAGAATTGAAAGGTATTGGCCTTAGGCATTGGCTCCTATCGACTACCCGGCATGCAGACCGGGGAGGGTTAACCACAAACCGTGGGGATCCTGTTGAAGTATGCCAACTAGGAACCCACGGGTGTCACCGCTCGGGGGCGTGGAAGGGGCCCTCACCTCCCTAGGTTTCGGACAAGGCAACGCCCCACCGGAGTCCTTTACCGGACTACCCTTCTCTTGGGGGAAGGTGATGGCGCTTCCTTCCCCCCCACTCATTTGCCTAACAATAAAACCCCTGCCAATGCCTAACCGACACTCGAGCGAGCGATTTCCGACCACGTGGTCCGCTGGAAGGCGATGGATAACGGCCGTTACCCTGGTAACAAAGGACGCTTCCGTGCTAGGCAGCCGCCGCTACACTGATGAAAAGGAACGGCAGCCGAAAACCAACCGAGACAGTAAATGCCGCACAAGTTGTAGCAACAAAGCCGACCCAAGAGCAAACAAAAGGGGAGACCCCGCAGCCAAACCTCAATCTTCACGTCCCTCCGCGCCGCGTCCTGCCGTCCCGGCAACCTCTGTTGGAAAACGAGAAAACCGCAGCAAAAGCTGGTTGAAAATCCTGAGGGACGAGGACCGACGCCAACCGAGGACTGAGCATGAGCCGCGAAGCCGCGCGGCCCCCGCGACCGAAAGCGCGACCGGAACCGGGAATCCGAAGCAGCTAACAGCGATGGTAAAATAGTGATATGAGCTCTTTTCTTGTGTCGCTGCTTCGGCTCTCTCGGTCGGCTCGGCTCTCGCTCACAAGCGGGCGTCCTGAATGCTGCAGCAAGCTAAAGGCTGGGAGCTCCGGCGAGGAAGGAAAAAACCTGGAAAAAACCTGCTCCAGCTAGTGAGGGGGAAAGAGGGCGATCCCCGGGCGTACCTGGCCATAAGTAGGATAGGCCACGCCTCCCCAGCCCTCCGATTGGCGGGCCGGGTTGCAGGCACGCCCGGGGATTCCCTGATCTCGCGGGGCTAAGCCCAGCCCCCGCGTGTGTGGGAGGGGGTCGCCCGCAACCCCCTCTCCTCCTAGGTCGGAAATGGCTTAGTAGCACAAAGTATGTGCTGGTCGAGGGTTGTGGCAATCTGCTCAAGCAATAATGCTCAGTTACTTTTCATGGTAGTGCCATGTCTTACATTACACTGGTCAAACAGGACTTCCACCATATTCCATTGTAGGATGAGAACTCCCATAATCTATGAGTAGGTTGCCCTTGCTTCCTGGGGCTGGTGAAAGTTGGATTTCAATAACATCTGCAGAACACCTTACTGTAGTCCCTCAGGCAGCTTATTTCAATTAATTGTATTACGATATCTATCCAGCTCCTCACCATTTATTTCCAAGTCAGTTAATAACATTCTATATTAAGCAACAAGCAGAAAAAGCAAATGAAAAAGTACTGACAAAGGATCAACACAGTAACAGTTGCGACGTGGCAACTGATCATCGGTGCTTGCAAAGCACCATCATTTTGGCTGAAAAGAAGATCTTATTGTCTGGGTAGTTTTCTATCAGGAGAGGTGCTCTGAGAGAATGATACCTGTGGAATCTTGTAGTTGCTCAGTATACTTGCCATATGAAGACAAACCTCAGAGTTCGGATCTCCAATGACTGCTGCTAGTTCATTCTGGGAGTCACACTTGTAGTTGGGAATGAATCTGCTGTACGTAGAGAGGAGTTCCAAGGAGGCACGATAGGTCCAGCTTGCACTAAAATGGCTGTTATAGATGTGGAGGCCCAGGGTGAGGTTGGGTAAGATTTGGAGGTTTGCATTGATCTCTTTTACAGCAAATACTAATGCCAGGATATGTTGGTAGAGCTGTGTCATAACCCTGAAATGAGAGTTACATGCTGTAACAGAGTGTGTTTCCTTTTGGATAGGACAATTTCTACACCTCAGCTGCACCAATACTATCTTACTGACCAATCTGAATTCAGGTAAATCAGGAGGAATATTAACATGCACAGGTTCCAGCTCTAAACTATGGTATTTAATTCTAGTTATTTTTAAATTAAATTTCTATACGGGTGTTCATCCAAGGATTATAGGGCACTTTAAAACATAAAAACACAGAAATACATAAGGCTCCTAAAGAAATGTAACAAAGGCACCAGGTGAGCCTCCCTTAGCAGAGTATTCTACAAAGAGGGGCCACTGCAGAAAAAGGTCCTGAACCTCTTGTGAAGGGGGCACACAAAGAAATTCCTCAGATGATGATCACATGGTCTCGCTTAGTTCATATGGGGCATGACAGTTTTTTAGGTATTGCAGTGCAATGACATTTAAGGCTTACTTGAGTGATTTGTACCCCACCAATCTGAGTTACAAGGTACAAATAATAATGTGGCTTAGCTCAAGACCTGTCTCTCCCAAACTCTGCACATTGTGGCAGATACTGGGCTTGAAATGCTCCTTAAGCTGCTGATACCATGGCTGCCGCAACTAAAAAGATAACAGATGATGATTAATATGTGCAACTATTTGCCAAAGACAGAGAAAGCTGTCCTTCTCTCATTCACTGGATCTAGCACTGATCTATGGGCCTGGCACTCCTAGGTAAAATTAATATCAGATATGGTACCAGAGGTTTTTACAAAACAAATCTTACACAATATCGTCAAAGAGGTCAGTAGAAGGACATTTATCAAAGTCTATTGAGTTGAATAGTATGGAGATCTGAGACATAATACCAGCAACGATGAGGTCTCCTGGTTGGTAATACTTGTGAAGAAAAGGAAGGGGACTGCAGATGCTGCACTTAGTGTTAGGAATCTTGCACATCACCTGAATTAGAAGCACTGATGGCAATAGTACAAATCCAACTATCTTGCAGGAAATAATTCCTCTTCTACCTAAATTCTCCTGTCCCCACATTATCTTTCAGTAATCCTTTGCTGTGTTGGGCAGCTTAACGTAAGTCCACACTACACTGATTTGTGAGTCAGATTGTGCAGTGTAAAGCATCTGTTATCAGCCTGACCAATCTCTGACTATCTCTTGTTACACCTTGGAATTGTACCGGTGATATTCACAGCACCCTCCTATCAGCACTGATAATAATGCAACTTATATTTGTAAATCCCTTGATATGTGGAAACAAAGCTCCCATGCCTAATTTCATAATTACAGGGAGGATAATAATATCATTGAGATTTACAGGCACTTAGATGTGACGGCTGCATTCATCCAGCTCGTGTGTTCATCTAATAGTGTTATGGGAATTATTGGTCCCAGATAGTGCAATTTGTAGCAGGAAACTAGGTGGATGTAATTATAGTAGTTAGGAGCAGATGATATTTATATTCTCGACTTTGTACAAGCAGGGACCTTTGAGCAAATACCATGCTAGATGCATTATACTTGAAAGTGAAGTTACTCAGCTTGCTCTGTGCAGGTCTCACTGGTATTCACAAACTGACAGATTAATATGATGATGTCAGAAATCCCTTTGAAAAAATGATGTTTGTGGAGGGAGTTAAATGTCGTTGAAAACCAGCCTTAAGTTTGTTTTCTCTGCAGTCCTGAATTCTGTTCATTTGTTTTTGTTGTGGGCTTTTTAAATAAATGTATTTATTTTTAAAATATTCAAATTAACAAACAATCCTCAAACAACAAAAGGGGGGGAAGGTATTCCATAAATCCCCATGAACCTCTGTCCGCCCCGTTGTTGGATCCTTTATTAACTTTTTTCTCCACATTTTCTCTGTTGGACTTCTGTTCATTTGTAATGAAATACCCAGAGAGCAAGGAGCAACTCGTCATCCCAGCTGACCCTCCACTCTTCCCATGCTAGATGTTGACCATCTTATAATGTCTGCCAGAGACTATTCATGTCAGCCAGTGTGGTGTAGTGGTTAAGAGTGGGTAGTCTCGTATTCTGGGGAACCGGGTTCGCGTCTCCACTCCTCCACATGTAGCTGCTGGGTGACCTTGGGCTAGTCACACTTCTTTGAAGTCTCTCAGCCCCACTCACCTCACAGAGTGTTTGTTGTGGGGGAGGAAGGGAAAGGAGAATGTGAGCCACTTTGAGACTCCTGAAGGGGAGTGAAAGGCGGGATATCAAATCCAAACTCTCATTCCCTGCCCAGTACTGTATTGCAGAAACTTCCAAGTTCACTTAAGATGAGTTTGGCTTCACTGGACCTTAAGGCCCTAGACTGGTTAGCTTAACATCTGTCCTGGGAAGAAAGACTGAAATACAGGTCAATCATTCATTAGTATTTTTATTTATACACTGCACTTCCACTGAAAGCATCTTACTCCAAGTAGCTAACAACAAGAATACAGGAAGACATCTCAAAATCAACAGGGTCAAGAACAATTTCATAATAAAAGAACAGCAAAATAGCAAATATAACAACATAGAAAAAGGAATAGTTTAGTGTAAGAAATATAGCAAGATGACATTAAAGCATCACACCTCTTGGAAACAGCAAAAATAACCACTAATCTAACCAAAACACCCTGCTGACTATATGGTGGCTGTAATAAATGATGTAGATTCAGTAACATACAAGCATTATACATAAGCTTTGCTCCACAACCAGGCCATTCGGGAGAAGAACACAAGATGGAATGCTTTGCTAGATGAAATGCACTCACCAGCAGAGCTAAACAGGTTGCTGAGTGCAGACCATTCTGGCCTTCATGCAATGAGAACAGGGCTTGGGAATTCCAGATCTGGGAGCTGAATATGATGCTGATATTTGGAATTCTTCCCAGTTGAAAACCATTACTACCCAGCTCCACACCCAGAGTTTTTCCCCTCACTGGAATGTTCCCTGAACTCTAGTAATGCTCGTTACTTGACTTGTGAGTGTGTGCAGGTACTAGTGTGCTGTACAAATGCAAAATTTACATGTGTTGCTGCTCAATCTTTTGCCTCTGGCCCCATGTGTGAGAAGCAGGTGGATGGCTGCTCCGGAACTTTTTTCTCATTTCCTTTTGTAAAAGGTTCGATCTCCTGCTCCCCCAATTTGAACTCTAAATCTGTCCTAGGTTCTCCCTCCCCCGACACTCTGGAGCAAATATTGGGAGGGTATGAGGCCCACGCAGGGAGAGGAAAAGGGAGAAAATCCATTGTACAACCAGAAAAGCTTGAACTCATGGGATGAAGCAGTTGGATACAACACACAGAGTTGGGGCAGGAGTTTTCTGAAGTTGGAAATCTCCACAGAACACCTAGCCAAATGATATCGCCCATTTGCATATAGGCAGACAAAATAAATTTCCCACAAATCCTGGGCTCTGTATAACTTGGATTTATTGTTTGTACTGGAAATTATTCAGGAAATAAATGGCAATGCTGTGGCATTCAAAATGGAAGGGCAGAGCTTATATTATATTAGGTTGGCTATATGTTGTTGGGCTGCCGGATGTGGGGAGGAAATAATGAATTAACATAGGATAGCTCCAAAGAGGGGGTATCTTCATATCCACTCAAGGTGGCAGATAATTATGCCACTACGTTTGGCAAACCTAAGGAAGAAAGCTTTGGCTCCCATATCTTGTTTTGGTTGGCAGACTTGGGATAGGGAGTTGATATTAACATAGGATGGTTCCTATATTCAATCCATATGTTGCAATATATATGTACTGCCTAATGAGGGAATAAAGGGAGAAACTGTAATCTAAACTGAAATCCAGTTGAACTAATCAGTTGTGGCTGGCTTAAATCCCTTTGTGTAGATACAAATTT